AAAAAAAAAAAAAAATGGTATTAAATTTCACTTATTTAGGCCTATTGATTAGATTTCAAATTTAATTTTATATTGAAAGTCTTGATACAATCAAAGGGATAAAATTTAAGTGTTTTTTAAATAAAATTTTAAATCAAAATATATTTTTAATTAATTTAAATACAAAAATTTCGAAGTATAGTTTTTTAGTAAATAATTTCAGTATTTATTCGAAATTTACAATTGAAAATTTAAAAGTTATTTTAGTAGGCATTTGGGAGAAGCCATAATTTTTGTTATGAGTTTTAAATAATAAATAATAAAATACTGATTGTTGTTACAAATTTGTAACATTAAATTATAATGAAATTGAATAAAATAAAGTACAATTTACTTTTTCTTTAAAAAAAAAAAAAAAAAGAAAGCAGAAGACAATAATAGCAACAGCTAAATATAGATATACTAGAGATTCTACATTCTGAATATTAAAAATGCCAACAATTGTCTAAAAATTTCAATAATTATTACTTATTTTTTAATAAAAACAATTAATTTTTTTTTTAAAAAAATTACATAATATATATATATATATAATTTGATTTAAACTTACAACATTAATAATAATTACAAAATCGAATAAGAAATCCACGTGCAGGTATAATTACAAGGCACCAGATTGTCATGTCAATGTCCAAAGGAAAAAAGTTTTTAGTTCATGCTGACTGGTTCTCTACCAACTCCATATTTGTGTATGTGAAAAATTTTTTTTAAAAAAAACCAAAAATAAATTCACTTGTTCAATTTCTCTAAAATTAAAATAAAGATTTTTATTGATATACAAAAATAATTGTAATTCTTTACTTAAATCAGATAGTATAATTATTTTTTTATCTAAATAAAAAAAATATTAAAAAATAAATTGTAATAAATATCAAACTTTATAAATTAATTTAATTATTTACATTAAGTATAATTTGAAAATACAAAATTATTTAAATAATAGAAAATACTTAAATTATTTTTAAAATATTGAGAACATTGAATTTGTTTGTTACAAAAAAAAAAAAATCTCTAAAGATAGAATGATAGGTAAGACATATGAGACTTGCCAAACAATTTTGTAACGAGAGTTTTGTACGTCATCTAATTTATCTTGATAAAATATGTACGTACATATGTATGTATATATATATATATATAAATCTAACTATAAATATATTAAAAAAGAATATTTTGATAAATACTAAAATTACCTCATAATTTTGTCCCGTAAATAATTCTCTGACACTTAAGAAAACGAAAGAAAGAAAAAAATTAGCATGAGTTGAAAACATTTTTATTCCCGTTGACCATTTGAATTTAAAAATTAAATAATAATAATAATAATAATTTATTTTATTAAATTTTCATAATTTTCCGAAATTTATTTCTTCTAATCTTAAATTTTCGAAATTTAAAAAAGGAAATTGACAGTGAAGAAATTAAGGACTGGAAAACCGACCCACCACACATAATCGCCCCAACGACGCGCTCTCTCCCAAAAATAAATCCAACGGTTCTCCTTCCATCTCGTTTCTCTTTTTAACATCTCTCTCTGTACCCTTTCCCCTTCGTCGCGTTCAAAACAGACCCCTCTCTCTTCTCGAGCACACACTCTCCTCTCTCTCTGCTCTCTCCTATCTCTCGCTCTCTTCATTGCTCATCGCTTCTCATTCTCAAATAAGGTCTATTTCTCCCACCATTCTTTCTCTCTGATCTCTTTCTGATTTTCCTTAGATCTGGTGATTTTCTGTTTTTCTTTCCTTTCATTTATTTTGTTCATGATTACTTAACATTGATGAATGATGATTCGTTCTTTTAAGTTCGAAATTGAGGGATCATATTTCCTCTGGCTATGGGTTGGGGGGATCCGGTCGTTCTTATTTGCTTATCGTTCGCGTGTTTGGATGGCTGCGTGTTTGTTTGTTTTCTTTTACGTTTTGTCAAGCAGGAGATATTATGATTTCGCTAAATTATGTTAATACGGGATTAGGAAGAGAAGTCGAATTCGGGCGAGAGAGAGAATTTGGGAGTTTAATGACTGAACTTGACAATGCAGATGGTTTCACACGGGTGATTGGCAAATTCATTTCTTTGATTAAATGGTGGATGGATCATGGTTAAACGGGTCTCGTTTTTATTATTTCCTGTTGGTGCCAATTGGTTGATGTTACTTTTTATGATTGCTCCCCGTTCAGCTGACCACGAGGATTTGCAATTTGATATTTTGACGAATGTTCTTTAATATTATAAATGGCTAACTATTGGAACTCGGGGAGTTTGGATTTGATATGAACTGATGGCTATGTGTATATCATTTTTATGGGTAATATGTCTATACAAATGTTGGTAATTAGAATTTAGTGTCTAATAAATTCCAGGTCCCTCAGGTTATTGTGTGGATCGTATAGGGTCTTTTAAGTTCAATATCTCTCGATAGTTTGTTTAGTCTGTACCTTACATTGGTCTTTTATTGATTTAACAATTCACTTCTTCATTTTCGCTGTATTTCCAGTTATTTCTTATTTCATTGTAATAGATTTTCTTGGGTTCCAGAGAAAGCTTGGAATGCCTTAAGATTTCAATTTAGTTGCCCGGATTTAGTACTTATTTTCATGTTATTAAATTGTGGATTGTTACTAGTTTGAACAATATTATTCTCTAAAAGAAAATAGGAGAAATAATGTTTGCTTGATGTACTTATTTTGCTAATGATTCTTTATAAAACAATGTTCTTGATCTAAATGATCACAGCTTGGTGTTACAGCTTGTAGAAGATGGCGGAAGGTGAGGATATTCAACCACTCGTGTGCGACAATGGAACTGGAATGGTTAAGGTAATTACCAGGTCTTATTTTTCCAGTGGAGATTTCTTTTGCATGGAGGTTTTATAGACTATTTGCTTCCAAAGTTATGGTCAAGTTCTTTTTTCTTGTTCCTTCCCATTGGTAATTA